AATATTTAGAAGAGTGTGTTCTGTTTCCAAGTGTTGGAAGGTTTTTCCCATTTATTTATATATATATATATATATACACACACACACACACACACACACACACGTATATGTGTATATATGTGTGTATATGTGTATATATGTATGTGTATATATGTATATATGTATGTGTATATATGTACATATGTATGTATGTGTATATATGTACATATGTGTGTATGTGTATATGTACATATGTGTGTATGTGTATATGTACATATGTGTGTATGTGTATATATGTATACATATGTGTGTATGTGTATATATGTATACATATGTGTGTATGTGTATATATGTACATATGTGTGTATGTGTATATATGTATGTATATATATGTGTGTATATGTATATATGTGTGTATATGTATATATGTGCGTGTGTCTGTATATATGTATGTATGTGTATATACGTGTATATATGTATGTATGTATATATGTATGTGTGTATATGTGTATATATATGTATATGTGTATATATGTATAGGTGTATATATATGTATAGGTGTGTATGTGTGTATGTGTGTATATGTGTGTGTATATGTGTGTATGTGTATGTGTGTATATATGTGTGTATATATGTATATATATGTGTGTGTATATATGTGTATATATATTTAATTGGGGATTGAATCCAGGGGTGCTCTACCACTAAGCTACATCCCCAGCCCTATTTTGTATTTTTTATTTAGAGACAGGGTATCACTGAGTTTCTCAGGGCCTTTCTAAGTTGCTGAGGCTGGCTTTGAACTTGTGATCCTCCTGTCTCAGCCTCCTGAGCAGTTGGGATTACAGTTGTGTACCACTGCTCCTAGCTCCATTCCCATTAATCTTTAATACTGAATTCCAATTTAATTTCCTTAGGGTCAGAGAACATATTCTGCATTTAATTATTTAAAATTTGTCAAGATCTGTTATAGATCGAGGATATTATCTATGTTGGTGAATGTTCATGTGTTCGTTATAAGAATGTGTATTCTGTTGGGTGGAGTGTTTTATAAATGTTGATTAGATATAGTTAATTGACACTATTGTTCACATCTATATCCTTATTTATTTTCTGTCTAGTGAATTACTAAGAGGAGACTTGACGTCTTTTTTTCTTTTTTTGGTATTGGGAATTGAACCCAGGGGCACTTTACCACTGAGCTACATCCCCAGAATTTTTTATTTTTTATTTTTGAGAGAAGGTCTTGCAAAGCTGGCCTTGAATTTGTGATTCTCCTGCTGCAGCCTCCTGAGTCACGTGGGATTATGGTGGGGTTATGGAAGTGACCATACCCAATCTGAAATCTTAAACTATAATTGTAGATTCCTTCATTTCTCCTTTCAGTTATTTCATATTGTGATTCATGTACTTGGAAGCTCTGTTGTAGGAATTTTTATATCTTCTTAGTATCATTGTTATATAATGTCCTTTTATTCCTAATATATTTTCTTGTTCTGAAATCTACTTTGATAGAAATATATCTGTTCCAGCTTTTGATTAGTGTTTGAGTGATATATCCTTTTCCTTCTAACCTACATAATTTTTGCCTTTTTTGGGGGGTGGGTAGGTACCAGGGATCGAACTCAGAAGCACTGAACCACTGAGCCACATCCCCAGTCCTATTTTCTATTTTATTTAGGGACAAGGTCTCACTGAGTTGCTTAGTACCTCGCTGTTGCTGAGGCTGGCTTTGAACTCTCGATCCTCCTGTCTCAGCCTCCCTAGCCCCTGGGATTACAGACATGTGCCACTGCACCTGGAAATATATTTTTGCCTTTTATTATTATTTGTTTTGGGGGTGAAATTGGACTCTGGGTCTTATGCATATTAAACATGTGCTCTACCACTTGGCTCTCAGCCTACCTTTTACTGTTTTTTGTTTGTTTGTTTGATTTTTGTTGTGCTGGGGATGGAATCTGGGAATTTGTGCATGCTAGGAAGGTACTCTATCACTGAACTATCCCACCACAATCACCTATCTGTCTTTTTCATGATAACCATCCTAGTGGATGTAAAGTGCTATTTTGTTGTGGTTTTGATTTATTTAATTAACCATTTTCTTAAATGATATAATGTTGAGCATCTTTTCCTGTACTTATTGGCTATTTATTCTTAGAATTGTCTCTTCATGTCCTTTGCCCATTTTGAACTGGGTTATTTCCCTGTTATTGTTGAGTTATAAGAGTTTTTTGTATTCTGAATACTAAACTTTTATCAGATAAATTATTTGCAGATATTTTCTCCCATTCTATGAGTTAACTTGTAACTTTCTTATGGTGTCTTTTTAAGCTCTAAAACTTTTAAATTAACCTGTGTTGGTTTTGTATACCTTTGACTTGGCTACTCAGGAGGCCAGGGCAAGAGGATCATTTGAACATATGAATTTGATAGCAGCCTGGGCAACAAAGCAAGTCTTTGTCTCAAATTTAAAAAAAAAAAAAAGGAAACAAACAATAATTATTATATTTGATGAAGTCCAATTTGTCTTTTTTTTCCCTTTGGTTGTTTTTTTTTAAAAAAATATCATTTTAAAGAATAATAACCATTGCTATGGTCATGAAGGTTACCTCCTAAATTTTTACTCTGATATTTAGGTTATTAATCCATTTTGAATTAATTTTTATATAGGTATATCGTAGGGATCCAACTTCATTGTTTTGCATGTGGATATCCAGTTGTCTCAGCACCATTTGTTAAAGAGATTATTCTTTCTCCATTGAATTCTTTGGCACTATTGTCAAAAATTCTTCAACTACTGTGTAAGATTTCTCCTTCCCACTGGGTTTTCAATTCTGTTCCACTAATCTATATGTCTCTCTGTCTTTTTTGTTTCTAATTTTACATTTCACACATCACCCAGTTTTTTTTTTAAACATGTCTGTCTTATGCCAGTAGTACAGTGTCTTGATTTCTGTGGTTCTGTAAAGAGTTTTAGAAATTGAGAAGTGTGAATCCTCTAACTTTATTCTTTTTCAAAAAAATGTTTTGGCCATTCTTTTTTTTTAGAGAATTTTTTAATATTTATTTTTTTTAGTTTTCGGTGGACACAACATCTTTTATTTTATTTTTATATGGTGCCGAGGATCGAACCCAGCGCCCCGCTCATGCCAGAGGAGCGCACTACCGCTTGAGTCACATCCCCCGCCCATTTTGGCCATTCTGGGTTGCTAGATTTAGCTTTTCAATGTATGCAAAGAAGCCAGCTGGGACTAATAGAGATTGCACCGCATCAGTAGATCAATTTGGAGAGTATTACCAATTTTACTGAACAATATTGTCTTCTAATGCATAAACATAGAGTGTCTTAATTTATTAAGACCTTCAGTTTTTTTTCAACAATATTTTATAGTTTTCAGAGTATTAAGTTTTACACATCATTTGTTAAATTTGTTTCTAAAGCCAGGCATGGTGCCATACACCTGTATTCCCAGCTATTTGAGAGGATGGGGCAGGAAGATAGCTTGAGCCCAGGAGTTTAGGACCAACCTGGGCAATATAATGAGATCCCATCTCAAAAATAAAGAAGTATACACACACATGCACACACATGCATATTCCTAAGAATTTTATTCTTTTGATGATATATGAGGTGGAATCATTAATTTCATTTTCAGATTACTAAATACTAATGTATAGAAATAGTTGATTTTTGTATTCCTGCAAACTTGCTGAATTCATTAGTTCTAATATTCTTATAGTGGATTCCGTGGAATTTCCTTTCTAATCTGGATGTCTTTTAGTTCTGTTTCTTGCCTAATTGCCTTGGCTAGATCTCAGTACAAATTGAGTAGAAGTGGGGAGTACAGATCACCTTCTCTTGTTCCTCATCTCAGCTTTCATCATTAAGTATGGTATTAGCTGTTGGGTTTTTTTTGTAGATGCCCTTTGTTTGGTTAAGGTTCCCTTCTATTACCAGTTTGTAAGTGTTTTTATTATGGCGGGGTTTTGAATTTTTTTGAAATTTTTTTTGTAGTTGTAGATGGACAGAATGCCATTATTTTATTTGTTTATTTTTATGTGGTACTAAGGATCAAACCCAGTGCTTCACACATGCTAAGCAAGTGCTCTGCCACTGAGCTACAGTCACAGCAGTGTTGGATTTTTAAAAATGTGCTTTCTGCATATATTGAGATGATTATGGTTTTTAAAAATTTTGTTGTTGGACAAAATATTCGTTTGATGAGTGCTGTATTCTGGGTCTGGAAGGTCCCTCAAAGGCCCATGTGTTAAATGCTTGATCCCAGGGTGGCCCTATTGGGAAATGGTGGAACCTTCAGTAGATGGAGCCTAGTGGAAGGTCTTCAGGTCATTGAGTGGTTGGTAATTATTTTAGTGCTTTCATTTGAAAAGGTATATTTTACCTTTATTCCTAGAAGCTATTTTTGCTAGATATAGAATTCTTGGATGACAGTTCATTTATTTCAACATTTAAAAACTGTTTTTACTTCTTTCTGGCTTCATGGTTTCTGTTGAAAAATCCAGCCTTTTAAAGAAGTTGTTCCCCTACAGAAAATTTATCATTGTTTTCTGGCTGATTTTAGGATTTTTCTTGTTTAGTTTTCAAAGTTTCATTATGACATATCTGGGCTTGGAGTTTTGTTTTATTATTGCTAATTTATTCTGTTAACTAAGCTGCTATTGCTGCTGTTTCTTCTTCTTTTGTTTTGTTTTGTTGTTCTGGAGATTTAACCCAGGGTGCTTTACTTCTGAGTTATACCCCACCCCCTTTTCACTGAGCTTTTTGATATGGAAGTTTATATCTTTTTTCAAACTAACATCAAGTTTATCCTTGTCATCTCCACTCTGATATTGAGCCTGTCCTAAGGATTTTAAGTTTTGGTTATTTGTATTTTTCAGTTCTAAAATTTCCCCTTCATAACTTGTTTCTTATCTTACAATTTCTTTTTTCATTCATTTTAAATATATTTACCAATACTTTTTTTTTTTTTTTCAGTTTTGGCAATACTGGGGATTGAACCTAGGACACTCTTTATCACTGAGCTACATCCCATCCCCAGGCATTTTAAATTTAAAAAAATTTAAATTTGTAATCCACCTGTCTCACCTCCTGAGGAGGCCATGCGTTGCTGGGATTACAGGTATACACCACCAAACCCAGCTAGTATGTTTACCAATACTTTCTGAAGACTGGTTTAAGATAGTGCTTTATGTGACAGTTTGACAATTGACTCACCTCACTGAGAGCATCCTAATTGTCCTTTTTGTGCCATAGTGAGATTTCACTGATTTTGATACACTGGATAACTTTGGATTATATCCTGGGTATTTGAATATTATGTTGAGATGAGGGACCTTGTTTAAATCCTAAGCAGAATTTTGATTGTTTAAAGTTTAACTCTAGTTAAACTAGAGTTTTCTCAACTAGCCTGATTAGGCCTGTGTCTGCACTAGTCAGGCTTGGATCTGTAGCATACATCTGGGATCTGACCCCACATACACAGCTGGGCATTAAGCCTGGGAGCTCACATAGACTTACCCAATCATTCAGTCTCTCCCCCCCACAGGCTCTCTGTGGTAATTTACAGCTCTTCAGGGCCTCCCTTCCAAGGTCTCCAGCCAGAAATATAGAGCTTTTGCTTCCCAGCCTGCTACATAATTCCTCCATTGTGTCCAGGCCCACTGCAGGGGCAGAGGGTACAGCAGAGTTGCCCCATGCTCTGGGGGCTGTAGCTTCCCTCTCAGGGTTCAGATACCTGCTTGGTGGGCACAGACAGCCCTCACCATACCGCCATTGCCACCTCTATGAAGAAAGAGAAAAATGGAAATTCCCCAGACTCTCTAACCTGTAGGGCTTCATTTCCTCCTTCCTAGACACATTCTCCAGGGGCCTTTCTGTCCACAGTAGGTATACATCCAGTTTCAAACTGCCTTCTAATCCAGGCTGAGCAATATTAGAAGAAAAAAGTAGTGACCTATTCCAATGAACTTTTGAGTGTGGTCTTTCTGATCTGCCTGCCCCTGCAGCTGATGGTCATGGTCAGCAGGGATTATAATGCAGGGCTGGAAAAGAGGGAAGGCCTGCCAGGGAGAAATCAGGACACCTGAGGAAGGCCCCCCATCACATACAACTAACCAGATTGAACAGAGCAAAGCCACTGGTGGAACTTGGCAAACATATACCTACAACACAAGTATTGCAGACAGTGCACACAGGCACACAAGGAATAGATTTGTGCACACAATAATTTGCTGCACACACTTGATACGGATGTGTACTTGACTCGTACACTTAGACTCACAGACCTACATACAAGGGTGACACATGCACACATCCCTGGGCTTTTCTTGACACTGGTCCAGTTTCTTGAGACACAGGTTTGTCCCATTTAATTGAGAGGGGCTGGGGATGTACTCTAGAACATTTGCCTGGCATGTACAAGGCCCTGGAATTTGTTCCCCAGCACCACAGAGTGACCCATAAAGGGGCAGTGATGGATTGATGGGGCCGCAGAGTTCTGGCCTCAAGGATCCTCCCCCTGGAAAGCCAGCCCCCACTTGCTCCAGGCCTGACTTTTGCCCTTCACCCTGGCTCTGCTCAGCAGCCCCACCCAACCTGGGCCCTAGGCTGGTTATAGACACGTCAGCAGAGCTGGGTCAGGGGCTGGTGGTTATGTGAGGCTATTTTTAAGTCCAGCTCTGTGGCTGGCACTCCCACCCCCAGCCACTCTGCCACTACTGGCCACCTGCCGCCGCCTGTCCCGCTTGGAATGCTGATTGGCAGTTGGCTGGGATGGGGGTTGGGGACAGACCGTTATAAAGCTCAGTGTGCTAGGGAGGCAGCTGTCCCTTTCTGGAGCCCCTGTGTCTCCCTGCCACCATGGCTACCCACCGCCTAGTGATGGTCCGCCACGGTGAGAGCACATGGAACCAGGAAAACCGTTTCTGTGGCTGGTTTGATGCAGAGCTGAGTGAGAAAGGGACAGAGGAGGCCAAGCGTGGGGCCAAAGCCATCAAGGACGCCAACATGGAGTTTGATATCTGCTACACATCAGTGCTGAAGCGGGCCATCCGGACCCTCTGGACCATCCTGGATGGCACAGACCAGATGTGGCTGCCTGTGGTGCGCACTTGGCGCCTCAATGAGCGGCACTATGGGGGCCTCACAGGCCTCAACAAGGCAGAGACCGCCGCCAAGCACGGGGAGGAGCAGGTGAAAATCTGGAGGCGCTCCTTCGACACCCCGCCGCCCCCTATGGATGAGAAGCACCCCTACTATAATGCCATCAGCAAGGTGGGCTGCTGGGAAGATCCCTGGAAGGTCTGAGGTTGGGAACCTGGGTTGGAAACCAATTGCCCAGGGAGGGAACAGCAATGTCCCCGTTCCTCTCCCCAGGAACGTCGGTATGCAGGCCTGAAACCTGGGGAGCTGCCCACCTGTGAGAGTCTCAAGGACACCATTGCCCGGGCCCTGCCTTTCTGGAATGAGGAGATTGCCCCCCAGATCAAAGCTGGCAAGAGAGTGCTCATTGCAGCCCATGGGAATAGCCTACGGGGCATTGTCAAGCACCTGGAAGGTGAGGCCCACCCTCAGGAGGGTGTGGGGCAGACAGGTGGGGATGACAGTACCTTTCCTTTTGGCAGCTGAGCAGACGTGGGGGTTTCAATCAATGCATTGAATATAGAGGGCTGAGAAAACATTTTAAAAACCATTCTGTGACTTACTTCATTTCTATACGTTCTGGGAAAGTTGTGGGTTTCATGGACACAGCACCCATTGGGCCAGCCTGCCTGGAGAGGTGGCACCCCCCCTGCCCCACCATAGGAGCTTAAAAGAGGTGAGATAGGCTTGAAGGTGGCATCTTTCCCAAGGATACCCAGCTAGGAAAAGGGCCAGGACTCAGGGCACTTGGCTCCAAATCATTGCAGGGGAGCTAATGTGTGCAGGGCTCTGCTCTCTTGGGTTCCCCTTCCCAAGAGAACCATGAAATTTGGTGCAGAGTTATTATTAGCTATTATTATAGCCACCCAGCCTCCAGGCATGTACTGTGGCTCCCACTAAAGAGCAAGGAAGGCTGGGTGCATTGGCAAATGCTGGTAATCCCAGCCACTTGGAAGGCTGAGGCAGGAGGATTCCAAGTTTGAAAAACAGCCTCAGCAACTTGGAGAGTCCCTAAGCAACTTAGTAAAACTCTCAAAAAATAAAAAAAAAAGGGTTGGGGAGGTGGTTACTCCCTGTCCCCCCCAAAAAGAGCAAGGAATGTTGACAAATGGGCCTTGAGATCTACGCAGGCAAGGGGAGGCTCCCAAGTGATGGTCTCTTCCACTAGTTCTTAGATGTCAGGACAGTCTAAATTAGCCTCTGAATGACCTTCAGGTGTGCTGAGATCATAGCAAAGGAGTGGGATGTACTCTAGATCTCTGGCTCCTATGTGCTGAAAAACCTCCCCCACCCACTCCTTCTGGGGGCTCCATAACCCCACATGCTTCAACCTGCACTAAAGGGAAGAGGCACCATGGTGTGATCAGGCACCAGGCGGGTGGGGGTGTTCCCAACTTCCCAGGGAACATTCTCTAGTCTTTCCACATGGTGGGGGTAGGGTGATGCCAATGCCAGATTGAATTGCTATTGGTGGTGGGTCCTGCAGCAGCAGGCAGGGTCAGGTTTCCACTCATTCCTCTGCTCAGAATTTAGAACCTAGAAATCAAATGGTTAGGATATCCTTCCGACCTCCAACTTCGGTCTGGCCAGTTCATATTGGGCTGAGGAAACAGTGGATAGCACCACCACAGGTCACAGCTGCTCACGGAGGATGAAGTTCATGTCTTGCCACTGGGCTATTTCTGTAGGCTGCTCAGTCTAGCTTAGTTCTGCCTTGACCTTTAGGTACATTTTTGTGGCCTTGATCTCAGGGCTGGGAGGATTAGTGCCAGGCAGCCCAGCTTGTTGGCCCAAAAAGGCCATGATGTCTGTTGTATGGAAAGGCTGTGGATAGAGAGGCTAAGGATGTTATTTTCTGGTCCAGGGATGTCAGACCAGGCCATCATGGATCTGAACCTGCCCACTGGGATCCCCATCGTGTATGAGCTGGACCAGGCACTGAAGCCCACCAAGCCCATGCGGTTCCTGGGAGATGAGGAGACAGTGCGGAAGGCCATGGAAGCTGTGGCTGCACAGGGAAAGGCTAAGTGAGGGTGGGTATGGCAATAAAGACAACTCTCTGCATATTGCCTTGAGTTCAACATGGCCAGGTATGGCAGGGTCATGGCCTACTCAGCTCACCCCATTAGCTGTGTTGACCCCAGAGACCAGTACAGCTATTCCTGGAGCCTACATCACCCAGGCACAGGAGCCTAGTGCCCAGACCTGGCTATTGGGGCTGAACCAGGGCAGTGACTACCTGTACTCCAAAGAAACCCTCAAGCTTTAAAGCCATTTGGTAACCATGTTCTTGAATTAGGGTATTTTAGGGAGAGGAGCCTAAGTGACTCAGCCCTCCCCAAAGGAAGCACAGGACAATATTTCTTGGCGAGCTTCCTTTAGAGAACAAGTGGTTCTCTACTATCTAAGCCCCACCTCCTGGTGAGCACAGACAAGCCCATGGGGCCTCACAGCTTGCAACAGGCCAGATTCATAAGGTTGCCATGGCCTGCTATCTTTATAGTAGAATGGGAGGAAGCCTAAGTAAGGGACAGGCAGGATTGGCACTGGGGAACATCAGGCTTGACCACTGCTTTCCTCTTGCAGCCTTCACCCTAGGCTGCCAGCAGGTGAGGCCCGGAATCAAGCATGCCATCGGGCACCTCCTAGGCACAAGGACCTTATTTCCCAGTTATTGAGCAGGTCTTGGGTGCCTTTCTCCATGTGTATTGTGCCATATAGCAGAAATTCCTTATGGTAGGGAGCTGCACCACCTTGGCCTTTCCCAGAGGAACTAAAATGCAGGCAGGCTCCAACTTTAGTCACATGCTAACATTTATGCCTCTCCTAGTTGACTAATTGGTCACTTAGGTCTGAGGATAGGACCGTGCATATGCATGTGCATTTTCACTCACACAAACACATCCATCCCAGACACAAAGCAGATGCAGACTTCCAGGTTGGGGTTTGTTTCCACATAGGAGTGGCAAGCTACAGCAGGTCAGACCAGAGCTGGGAGCCTGGGTACCAAACTGAAATTCTTGGATTTGTTTTTCAGACTCACAGGCTGGGATAGAAAACAGGGAGACAGCAAGGATACATCGTGTCTTTGATTTTTGACATACCCAGAAATGGGAGCTTGGTCATCCCATCCCCACTTCCCAAGGCCCAAACAGAGGGACCGAAATGGAGTGGGGCCAGGCAGGCTCCAGTAAGACAATAACTCCCTGCTGTCAAACTCATTATGGTCCACTGACTTTGGTCACAGATTGATAAAAGCAATTCTCTAAATTCACTGTTCCCAAAGGTCATTCTAAATAGTTGCAGCCACCATCCTTTAGAAGCCAGAGAGAAAGAAAAGGCAAATGCAGAAGGCTGTTCCAGATGCTCCTGCTCAGAGACCTGGCTTAGCAGTACTTACTCTTTTCAGGCAGAGATTACCTGGGGGCTCACTATGGTGGGGCTTAGCTTAGTGTCCCACAGATGTGAAGAGCCACACTAGTGGAAGGATCTGGGAAGTTGCAGGAAGTGTGTTTGTGAATCACTGGGTTATTGCTGCATCTGGGGTGACAGAGGCTGAACCACCCAAGCCAGAGGAGCCCTGAGGCCTTTTCCTCATTGTGGTTCCATTCTTGGAAGTCCCAAACACTGACTCTTGCATCTTCTCTTTTAACAATAAGGAAGCCACATCTGGGTGGGGAAGGGAAAGATGGGCTTCAGCCTCATTCAATGAGCTCCACGTAGTTGGCAGGGAACATGCCAAAGTGGCCATCGGGTCCATAGCCACGCCACCAGCCTTCGTCGATCACCTCGATGCCAGTAATGAGGTTCTCAGGATCAAAGGAGATCTCAGTGTCATCCGCTGCAGGAAGATTAAGCCCAGGTGCTACATCAGGGGCCCTGCTCACAAGTCCCCAATACTTGTGTGCCTCTTGGGCAGCCCCGTCCCCTCATGCACTAGAGCTCAGGGCTGTCTGCTTTCTCCTTGGTCACATCCCATTGTCATACAGACCATACAGAGCCTAATAGTACTGCAATGCCTGCCCCCTACACCTGGGAACATCTTCCTACAGAGCACTTCTACAAAAGGCTGCTCCCCAAAGACCCTCAGCCCTTTCCCCAAGGTCTCCTCTGGGAAGTCAGCTCCATTCTCTGGTCAGACCTGGAGGCTATACAAGATGGCAAATGGGGTTCCTGTGAAGGGATGGTAAGCAGCTGGCTAGAGTATGTGGGGGAGGCCCAGGCTGTCTTAGGATGGAAACTTCAGTGCCATGGTCATCACAGTTCCAGTGGGGCTTCCATCCTTAAACTTACCTCCCACCTTCCTCTTTGTTTCCCAACACCCTTGGTGCTGTCTCCCTACAGAGCCCCAGTCATTTGCTCCTATCTCCTAATCTCAGGACCCATGATCTGCGGCAGCCAGGTAGGGCACCTTACCTGCTTGGTAGTCGTACAAGGCCCGGGCACACAGCCCTTGCCCACTAAGCCCCTGGCCCTGTGTATAGTGGTCAATGTGCTCAGAGCCAGTGTCTTGCTGCTGGACCTGCTGAGAGAGAAAGATGGGATTAACCCAGACTCAGCCTTCTCACCCAGGTGGCTCAGGTCAAGTTAGGGCCTGAGAAGGCAGGGGTAACAGCACATGCAGGGTGAGCAGCAACATAAGGCTGGGGGCTACTGCTGTCCTAACACACCCGCACCACAGTCATCTCCCCAAGATATAGAGGCTGAAAGACAGTGCAAATGCCTTTGTAGCCCCAAACTGCAAGGTGCTTCCCTCACCCAGCATCAGTCACATGGGCACTGGCCCACATAACTTATAGCATGGGGCTCTTTCAAAAGTTGAATGAGAATCCATAAGTGCTTCAAAACCATTAGTGTGTCACAGAAAACTCATGCCTGTGACTCCTTCACTGCCCCACCCCACTTCAGAGAACCCACCATTGGGGGCTCCTCGTAGAGGGCCTCTTGCTCCGGAGGCTCCTCGTACGTGGCTTCCTCTTCTGCCTGCACCAGACTTGGAGGAATGCTGGGTGCTGGCTCCTCACAGACATCTGCATAGAGGACATAGCAGGTTCTGACTCCTCTCCTTCCCACAACCCTCCCTTCTCCACCATAGTCCCCCTCCAGGGTCCCATAGAATAACAAATGCCTTGCCTGCCCTGGGCCTTGAGACAGCAGAAGTTGGCTCTCTGCCAAAGGAGGTCTCTGGTTGGGTGAGCTGTTTCTGCAGGAAGGGGCTCCTCAGCTTGCCTGCAAACCCCCACAAACAACATCCCCACCACTTCAGAACCACTTCTTGGCACCCACACACCCACCTGGTCTGTTAAAGCAGCCCAAGGGAGCTGGCCCCAGCTAGCACAGGTACAGAGACTCCAGGGCTGTACAGAGAGATGGCAGGCAGCACAGCCATATGGGTAGGAGGAGACACCTCAGCCCGAAGCTACTCTCCTCACTTGTTCCTTGTCATTCTCCAATACACCTGTCTTGTGACCAGGCCCAGAGGGATGACCCACCTGGCTGAGGACTAGAGATGGAGGTGGTAGACATGGCCCTCTCCTTCTGCTTGAAAATCTCCCGTGGGTGTGCAGTCCGCTGATCAGAAAACACCTAGGGGAGCACACATTGACCCGAGCAGTAAGACTCAAGAGCTTCTCACCTCACTGCCCCCTACCCCAGCAAGTAGGCCCTGAAGGCTACAGCGGGGCCAAGAAGCCAAGGGGCTGATAGGGCCTCTCCCAGGACTAGGTTGCAATCCATGCCAGAAGTTTCTGCTCCTGGTTTTCCTTCCCACTGGCATATCTGATATGCCCAGATGTGTCTCAGGAATCTGAGCTGAGCCCTCAATCTGAGTTCAGGCGCTTTGACATGTGATGGATCCAAACTAGAAAGTTTCCAGACCCTTTGTGAGAAAATGCCAAGACTAACCTGCTCCTCCCTGTTCTTCGAAACCACTTCTTGCTGCTGTTCACCTGTCCTGTTGGGAAGGGCCAGAGTCGGGGGAAGACAGCTAAGGCTCTTCAGCAGCCCCTCATGCTGTACCCTCAGTCGTCCTGCCTCTGAGGGATTAAGTGAGCACACAGGGACACCCAAGGGATCCCCCCACCATGAGGCCAGCACCCTAGCCCAGTGAATGGTGGGCTTACCTTGAGGGGCTGGTTTCTCTGTGCTGCTCCTGGTAGCGCTGCTCTCGGCGGGCAGCCTCCTGCAGCTCCCGCTCCCGGCGTTCCTTTTCCAGCTGCCGCTGCTCCTCCTCAGCCCGTCGCTTCTCCTCCAGCCGGCGGTTCTCCTCCTCCTTCTGCAGGGAGGGCTGGCCACTCAACCCTACACTGACCCCTGGCCTCACCCCCTGCCTGGGACCAGGTCCCACAGGCATGTGGTTGAGGAAAGACACTACAGCACATCCCTCACATGCCTTGTGACTTAATCCACTTACGCCTTACTTTAACTACCTATAAAAGATCAGGTAGAACACTCACTACACACCTGTGTAGCATGCTTATCAGCGTGCCTGCCCCTACTCCATGGTTCTTACCTCAGCTTTGGCCCAGAAGCTGTCTTTTCCAACTCTCTTGATCTCAGATATGGCATTGGTCTTCTGGTATACAGAACCCTGTGGGGGATAGCAAATGCTAGAGATCTGGCCCTGGGTGGAAGAACAGGCCCCGAGGTACAGAGGTAGGAGTAGTGTGGAAAGGATTTATAAGAGCATGTAAGTGGACTCAGTGGGTACATAAGAGCCTGGCCCTTCACCCTCAAGGAGATAGATACCACGTGCCCAGAAAGAGGCCCAGGAAACTGCCCCAGCAGTGATGCTGAATCCCAAGAACACTGGAGGGGTCTCTGGTGGCACCTAGCCCTTGTGCATGGGGGCCAAGGCAGGAAAGGTCCTGTCTGCAGACTCCTTGGGACCAGGTAGTTCTAAGGCAGGCCTCTGGCCAGGGCTACCCCTTAGAGAGCTGACTGTCACAGCATTGTCCACAGGAATTACTGCAGAACCCAACTGTATGTCTGATGCTACAGTTCCCCACTATCAACTTGACCACTCAGTGTAAGGACCACAAATCTACAGGTGTCTCCCTATAATG